CAAAGATACTTTTATCAATATTACCACATTTACTTAGAACTTTCATCACTCGCGCGGGATGTTTTGTAGAACCTTGTAAATTCGCTAAATATACAAATGTTATTTATATACATCATTATATCTAATGTAAAATGTTTTGTAATTAAAAAAAAATTGCATTTATCTTTATCTAAAGTATGTATAGAATGTTAAATACTTTTATTTAATCCTTCATCCACATGATTCGTGTTCTACACATTTCTTTGAATACAAACATTCTAGGTATTTGTAGCTGCTTTATATTTTAAGACCATCTAAATGATATGTTAAACTGTTCATACAGCTCTGTGATTGGTTCATGATATCTTAAAAAAAACTTAAAACGATTAACTATGAATACCGACCTAGGAGCATTTGACTAAATAATATTTTCCTATTTTTCCAATATTTTTATAAATACTTTCCAAGGGATACATAAAGGCAGAGAGAGGATATTGGAATTTTTTATAATAATTAAGTACATTACAATAAGAAATATAAAGAGATAGGGATAAATGACAGAAGATCCAGATATCTGAGAAAGGAAAATCTAGATGAAGTTAGGAGAGAGGATGAAGTTAGAGCAACGGTGAAATTAAGGTGTGGAGCGAGTAAATAAGTACGTACTGGTCGGTGGAGAGCCATTGGAAGTGTATATTCTGAGAAGAAGATAGGGATTGTATAGAGCATTATGTAAGGGAATGTCAGGAAATAAGGGATCGATTTGTAGAATTAGGGGAGGAGATACAAAGAAAGAATTATAAAGAGGATGTAGGAGAAAGATTTAGATAGAACAAAAGGCAAGATATTAGGGAAATTATGGAAGGATAAAGATAACACGAATTAAAAAAGAAGACAAGCGGGAAGAAAGTATTTAGCATAAAGAACAGGAAAGGAAAGAGATAGGAATGTAAAAGAGATGAGAAGGATGTGTGCGTAACGGTAAGAATAGGTAACTGAAAGTGCAATAGAGAAAAGTATTGTACATAAGGCTGTGATAGTTTGAATACCAAGTGCGTGGAAGGAATAAATACAAAGAAAGTTTAGGTATAGCTTAGTATAGTATGCAGACAAAAGGATGGATGGATGTGTGGAGTAGTAAAATTTTGTAAACCGAGTCCCCTCCTTGGTTTATGTATGCTGAAGAATGAATCAATTCTATTCTATAAATAATTCTTTCTAAAAAATGTTCCAATGTATATTGGAATAATATATATATGTAAGAATCACTTACTAATTTTTGTATACTTATTAAAGTCATGAAAGTTAATTTGAGACGCAAACGATCCGTCATGTATGAAAAAGAATATCACCGCGTGTACTAAAAGTTAAATATAAATTATCAAAGAGAAAACAATAAAAAGATATAACCTATAAAGATTGGGATGCCAGAAACGTCCTACATAAGAAGTTACTTTTAAAAAAAGCCATGCGAGTAATGTAGAGTCAACGTTGCTCCTACGAGATGATTCTTCCGGTGTCCATTAAAATTCGCGCAATAATGAAACATCCAGGTATTTAGTGATTTAAAAAAAAAAAAGCCATGTATTTCATTTAGTACGATTGCTCTAAGGATATAATCTTCTTTTTCTTTATTTCTCGGTTCCAAGATTTTGTTCCATGGTCGTTACGATTTCATCAGAAAATTCCGTGAGGAAGTGACGGTACGATTATGGTAAAGGTTTTTGCCTGTCCACGGACGGCACATCGTTATTCGTGATCTCCGCTTCGAAACGGTGTTTACGAAGTGCACGGCAATCAGAAATTCATGGCTTCCTTCTTTTCATTCATAGGCAGCGCAATCATTTTCCCTCGCGAAGCTGATTATTCAGTAAGTTCTCCTTGACCGTCCCGATTGTTCTCCGTGCACATTCTCGCGTGCTGCAAGGTCGAAAATGCTAACAATGGGCACACGTTAACGCGCGCGCACTTATACACGTGTGCGCCGTGAAATAATAAAAATATTTCCTACTTGGTAAATTAATTCTCTGTCACTGTTGTCAGTTTGGAGAATCTATGCGTATTTTGCGCACAGCGTTTACGAGCGTGTGATGATTACTATCTCTGGAGCGTACTTGAAGCATGTACAATTGATTTTCTAATCATTGTATTTACCAATCATATATACATGTATTTCACTTGATATTTTTTTACCGCTTAAATTCTAAACGAATTTAATCTTGTTGGTCTATTCAAGTTTATACGATCATGAGTATTTTTCATTTATCAACACAAATCGACACAAGTGACGCGTTCATCTTTGTTATTTACTATAAATGTTAACAAAAACATAACGATGATAGAATGATGTGTCGAATGAAAAATATAGAAAGCACTCGTATCGTTTGTGTGGGTATCAACGTTATTAAAAGCTCTAAAAGAATAAAAAGAATTTTTACATTAACCGACGAAGTCATCAAATACCAGTGAAGAGGTTTTTAAATAAAATATTAATAAGAAAATAGATTACATATATTTTGAGTCAAATAAAGCCGAACGATTCAACAGAGTTAAAAAAAATTATATTATAAGAGCGCAACTGTAAGTAGCACAAATATGGTAAAAATTTTGCTGGAGCTAGTTTCCATCGCTATTGAGCACATAACATTGATACACCGGCAGTAATCATCATTTGCACGGGAATGTGCGTGTGTGTCGCGTGTGACAAACGCGCAGTACATAGCACACCGACAGGCCGCAACGTTTACGTGTGCGATCCGCATGTCCGGTGCCCTTGCACGCGCAGGTGAATGCTTGGAGAACGCATATATATCGTCTCTCTAGCAATTTATAGATAATTTCCTGTCATTTTTCTTATGCACCTTGACGTATGTTAAAGAAGACCAGTGTCACGATCTATCGTTATATACATTTGTTACATTTTTTCTTTTTTTTTTTTTCAGTGACTTAATTTCGAAACTTGATAAGTTTTTATTCGAATGTTATTGTCAATGGTATTTGAATATTACTATCGGGGCAAGAGTAGAATAAAAAATGTTGCAGATAAAAAAAAGTAGCTATATCAGGTTCGGGCATTGACGATTTCTGCATTATCGTTGCGAGCTTAGTATCAATGACGGACTTTTAGCGAAATCAATTCTCTCGAAGCGGTACTAGATGCCAGCAGAGTCTGCATGCGATCCGTGCTGCACTCTGCAGGAACTTACTCTAACGTGATTTACCGGAAGATCTTTCGTTTTTTATTTCGAAACAAATTTAATTTGATTTAAATTTGATTGGTACGTGATATTGAAAAAACCATACATTGTACATACAAGGATTTATATGTATATAAATTAACTATGTATTCTCCTTGCTCTTTTTTTCGCGACAATTTGTAATAAGCTTTCACAATTTAACAAAAATTTCGAGATACAATTAAAAAAAATTATAAAATATATAAAAGATGCATTTTTTAAATTACTTAAACTATCAATTTTTTTAAAATAGGATTTGATTTTCACATACTTTACGTTGCAAATCGAAATGATTAAAAACATATTGAAGCTAAGGAAAAAAATTTTAAAAACGTGGTCATTTTGAGACGCTCTATTAAAAAATAAAATAATTATTAATAAATACGCGCTTGAGAAAAATATTTCTTTATTTTTAGTCTAATGGCACATAATCAGTTTGATTGTATTTGCAATATAAATAAGTAATATCTAATAAAGCATGTTATATCTGGTAGCTCTCGTATCGATAAGATGATAAGTTGATCGCGTGATAAGACAGGTATATCTTTCGTCATTGTACTATACCGTGTAATAAGAAAATCGGCTAGTAATTTAAACATGTATGTATGTGCGCTTCCAATTGTATGTACAATATATACTTATGAAATTCTATGATATAAATTTTGTGATGCCGCTTAAAATGCAAAATATTATATATTATATTTCTAAAATGAGATATGTGTTCATCACGTTAATAATAACTTTATGTCACGTAAAAATACAATTGTATTGATAACCAATTTTTTGATGCTTTATATAGTTTATATTGAAAAATAATAACGCAGCCAATGTATCGCCTTGATCAAGAGATTCAAATAGCCGGAAGAGGACTATATTTACAAAGGTATAAGAAAAGAATTCCGAGCTGTCACGACACAAACGTCTGACATGCTACTCTGATGCCATTTTACGCTGTTTTATTTCTGTTCGCGATAGAAAAAGAGCGAGGAACGAAGAAAATGAAGGAACACAAATGCTCGCTACAAATAGATATTTTAGCCTATAATGTATTTTTCTTCCTGTGGTAATAATGATTTTATGCTACTAACATAATTGAGATTTATTCAAAATATGATTTAATTAAGTAATGGTTTAAATTGTTTATAATTCTGTTTTATCTGGAGCTTTAAAAATCTATATAATTATCTAACTCAGAATGAGAAGAGAATATAATAATTATTTAAAGAATCACATAAAAATAATTTAATTTATTATAAGGGTAATTTATTTACTATTCAAATGCATAATTATAATTTATCATTTTAATATTTCTTCTCACTAATGTTAGCAGACTGGCAATATAAATATTGATTTAAGTGTGCCAATTGCTAACGAACCTAAAACATTTTAGTCATTAAACAAATACTCGATTCGCTCGTAATTTATATTCACGAAGAGTTCCATCGCCGCACTTTGATTGTAAGTCCGATTACGAATCTATAATATAGTCAGATAGGTAGGAACGAAGTTCAAGGGAAACCGGTAAAGAGCAAATGGCAAATGCGAAATTATTCTAAATTCATCATTTCTTTCCTACGAGGATACGTATTTTTGTTGTGAAGTCTATAATAACATTTCAGAATATTTTATATTGGTATCTACCTATAATAACGTATAATAAAACAATTCATTTATTTATTATGTTTTTATATCTACAACTATAGCGATATTTCGATAAAAAGAATCGAAAAACAATATTGCGATCATCATCACGAGAATGACGATCATTCCCCTTGGATACCGTTTTGTTGAAATCAATGAAAATTTGATGTGCCGAATTAGAACTATCAATAAAAAAATGTAAAAAATTTAAAATAATTTCGAGTTGATAATTATACATTTTATAGTGCCATTTATCTAATGGATTACGATACGTATTCTCGGAAAGGAAGTATAATTAAATATATTCCTGCCACGTTCTACGCAACGCGCAGGTAAATATTCCTACATCTAGCCGTCATTAAGTTCCCTATAAATATTCTTTCAGCAAAATGAATATTTATGCAAATAATAACACTTTTTTTTCACACCGGTATTACATGTAATTTTGATGAGTAATAGTACTGATAATAAAGCTGATCGAGATGACGCAATTAAGCATACAAAATGTACTAAAGAATATTTGCTAAAATTGGTAGACATGTCCATTAAGCGAACTCCAAAGGTCGAGGCCCTGGTTGTAAACGCTATACGTAGGCTGCAAGATGTGCAAGGTTCGACATCGCGGGAAATTAGTAACTATATTTCCCAAGAGTACAATGTTCCTAGCGAGATCAGGCGGCAGGTCCAATTCGCTTTACGGCGCGGATTATCCTATGGGATTCTTAAGCGTTTAAAGGGGTACGAATTTGACTCCAAGTTCCTATTGATTATCCACAATTAAGTAATTCCAACAATTCTATTTCTTTTATCTCAGTATTTAATTTAAAACTCGTTATGCCAAATTACAAAATTTACGCGACATTACATAAATATTTAGTTAGACAAATTTAATACAATAAGCTTTTTACTCACGGAAGTTATCTTGGAAATTAAGTGCTGCATTCTGACTTCTCGAGAATTATGAGAAATTACAAGAGAAGCATCAAGTGTCGCGTAATACATTGGACATATTTACGATGTTATATTTTCTGCAGTACAAAAAAAACCTCGCTTATCAATGCCAATGATAAAGCCGCTGGGTCAAAAATAAAGCGCAATAGATTAAGTCACGATTACGTGAGGGCGATACGTGACCTATTTCGTAAAAAAAAAATATTTTGATCGTGTTACGCACACAATACTTTCACTCGATCAAGTAACCGTGGTGTCACACCCTACGTGGTTGATGTAACGTAACGTACGTTGATGAAGGCACTTAATTTCATTCACTTAAGGTCATTAAAAAGACTTTAACTCCGACCTCTGAATAATATGAGTAACCAAGCATATCTATTTAAGAAGAGAATTTCGCTACTTGTAGACTGTTCCTCGGTACGCGTTCGCTCGATGTGTTATATCTGAGTCTTTTATGACAAAAGTTCTGGGACATCGAATGCGAAGGCGACTGTAATAATTTATCATAATTTACTAGATAGTGATTACTATGGTACTAAAACATCCCACTGACGTTCTTTTTAGAGGGTACTATTCGTGCGATCACGACTACCTCAGACAGTTCTCGTTAGGAAATGGCACGGGTGACGGAGTGATGGAACCTTGTCCATCACAACCATGGCGATTCGGCGTGAGAAAAAGGAAGAGAGAGAAGGCGAGGAGAAGAAGGTACCAGAGGGAGAGGCGGGAGAGGGAGAGGAGAGAGAGGGAGAAGAAGAAGAGGGGGAGGAGAAGGAGAAGCACAACTAGGCGAAGAAGAGGAAGAAGTCGCCGCCGCAGACCGCGTAGATCACGCGCCAGGAGGGGCAGACGTCCGACTACCTCTCGAAGACGTCGAAGGAGGAGAACACGGAGAAGAAGTAGAAGAGGAGTAAGAGCTAGAACACGCGCTAATCCCAGCAGCGAGATGCAAATGGAGGCGACGTCTCCGGAACCGCTAAGAAACGACGCCGACAGAAAAGAAGATCCTCATAAGAGCGAATCTTCCGTTTCCGTGCATTCGATCGAACGGCACTCGCAAAACTCTTCTCAAAACTCTCAAATGTTAAATACGTCCGACATTTAGAAATTAATGAAAAAAAGAGATGATTTTTTTCAAGAAGTAGAAATAATGACCGCGTATTCGGCGGAATATTTAATTTACAAATATTTTCTTAGCTGAACAAAAAATGTACTAAATCTTGATACATATTTTCTTCAGTGGGACTAACTAAACATTTATTTGCAGCAAATAGATATTTACTCAACAAAAAATGATAGTTGAATTAAATTGATGGTTCAAAGAGGAATATATGTTTGCATTTAATAAATATTTAATTAGTATTATTCAAACAAATCTTTATTGAAATTTAGTACATTTTTTCTTAATGTACAACTATTCCTCTAACTTTAAAATTACAATTCAATCAGCACGATCGAGGGAAACTTCCAACAGCTGTAAAATGTTAAGCATTCTGCAGAACGCGGTCAATATTTCTGCACAGATCACAGAACATTGTTCGCTCCTTTTCTCGATACAGAATATCTCTAAGCATCAAAATGGAATTTTACGAATATATAAATTTTATATCACGATTGTTTACACATATCAACAATCGTTCGTACTGTTACATCTCTACGCACATTTCGAGATTTTACGTATTTATATTGTACCCTTTACTTTGGTGCTTTGTATACACGCTATATTAATTATTACAATTGTCTTCCTGCACAAGCGTTCTTAATTCCTCGTCCGTTTGTATCGTAACATCGTGAGGGAAAGAAATAGGATCGTGAGATCAATCGAAATTACGCTGTCCGTCCCACAGCGTGAAACCCGAGCCTCCTGAGAAACAGACGCACTAAGCGCTGGGCTCCGTGGCTGTCCGTCGACAGCCCTGAACGCGGCCTTGCCGGCTAATGATAGTCGTGCTAATGACGAGTCCGCACACGCATGTATGCGCGCACCGCGTGACTATTTCGCCTAGCAACTCTAGGACTAGACGCAAGACGCGTCGCGCGGCGGTGTGTTTTGCCCCGCCGCGCCGCCAGCTGTGAATGATAAGTGCATGCGTATGCAACGCGTATGCAAGTTACGTTCCAGAGCTGACGATATTTTAGATAGGTTTTTTTCGACAATCTTCAAATCGATCTCTGCTTTTCTCAAACAGCAATTTTCACGTACAGATGTAGACAGCCGATTCGATAAAATTATTCCGTAGGCGATCGTCTTCCCATAATCTCGGCCAATAATTTCGAATGCAAACTCCTATGACGTCATCTCTCTATATATTCCACTAATATTGCATATTGGAACTATTTATTTTTGTGTTTGTGCATTCATCGAATTTAACTCAAATTGTTATTTGTCGCAACTCACATAAAGATTATCTTTGAGGATTTTTTATTGAAATATTAGCATATCGATTCATTATGCATACGTTCAAAGGAACATACGTTCAGCGACACAGGAACTTTCGTTTAAACGATGACGAGAGCGACCGAAAGAAGACGGAATTTTCTAAAAAAAACATACTAAATTTTAATATTTGTTTAAACAGTAACTAACTAAATATTTACTAAACATATATTTATTTTTTACCATAAATTTGACTTTTTAGTAAATATTTATTTACTAAATGTATTTATTTATCGTAATTATTATGTTAGTGCTTTCTCTCTATTCAAACAAATATCCGTTTCTTAAAACTTTGTATATTTTTTCTCAATGTACATTTTGTTTATATTTATTTAACACCGCTTATGATTATGCAAAATTAATCAATTTGATAAAGCAATCTTGATCTCTAAGTAGTCTGCTATATACTTGCATCAATTTTCAATACAAAATTGTTATTTCGATACTAAATCTTCGCATTCCAGTATGTATTTATAATTTTTACATTTATATAAATAACTTTTTCTTCGCGTATCATTGCGAGATGGACTAGCTAACAGACGATGATGACTAATAGAGAGGATAATTTTTATTATTAACGGTCGACAGGACCATTAATAAATGATTTTGCATTCGGGTTAGCTCAATTATTGCTTGCTTATGTATCTATATGTGAAAGCTAAATACGTTTTAAAAGAGTTATTATTATTGCTTGTAACAAGAATAGCTTAAATAGCTACAATGGTTGCATTCAGCAAAAAAAAGTAGTTTTGCAACTGTATTGTAAGATTATTTAATTTAGATAAATTCAGTGAGACACTAACGACAAACCGTATTAAAAAATTTTACAACAATTGCAAAGCTGCTCCTTTTTAATGAACACAGCCATTGACTTTAAAAGTACTAAGCAGTCATTATTGAGAGAGAAAAAATGTTTCAATTTTTTATATTAATATTATATTTCTCTTGTAAAGGACACAGGATTCTGAAATTGTTTGATTTTTCGATAATTATGTTTTTTTATGTTGACGAAATGTTTGGTTTTTTCTTTATATTTACAGTAATTTATTTTAGATCCTCTCAGTGGCCAGTAAAAAAACGTTAATACATTTTTAGTGTTAAATCATTGTCACTTGTCTTTTTAGACTTGATACTTGTCATCAATATCATTCTTTTACACACTTTGCATACGCGAATAAAAAGAAAATAGCTCGGAGTGATCTCTTAAAAAAATAGGTCTACCAAAGGCCTAACGTATATCCCGTCGATACAATGATAATTAAGTGACATATACTAGCACGATGAAAGTGGTTTATCACGAGACTAATAAAACGTCGCCATCATGCCGAACGCTAATTAAACATTTACACTTGTGCTTCGACAAGTGTTCGACGAGCATATAGAGAAGAGGTTCGAAAATCAGTATAATTTTAGTTCAAACTTCGATGTCATACATGGTGTTCCAAACGGAAAAATCAATATTCTAAGAAGTGATAGTATCGATCATTCTAAGCAAAAATGTTCATATGAACGTACGAGTATATCCTATTCCGATTATCAAAATTGAATACGCAAAATTAGTGTTGAGAAAGAAATAGTTATTTTTTTTAATTTATTGTTCAAATGACATATTTTTATAATAAATTTGTTTCTAATTCCACTGTTTTCAAATTATCTCTGAAACCGTTCAGAATACACGTTTATATGAACATTTTTACTTAAAACAATAGATACCATCACCTCTCAAAATATTGACCTTTTCTCCTGGGACACCCTGTATAAAGCGAAGAATAGTAAACAAGACTTCTGGACTGCAGCATCGAAAATTGAACTAACTGGTTCGGATCGCTGGTGAAGTTGTTTGTCGACGAAAACACCATTCGTCTACTTGTCGATTTAATAGCGATCCCTTCGTTTTCCCTCAAAGAAGCGTATCGAAAGAGGGACGGATAGAGAGACGCGGGGAAAGACAGAAAGAGAGACAGGCCGTCGTCGTTTCGCCGCGAAACCGAAAATACTCATGTCGGCCGGTATGTTGAAACCTGGCATAAGTTCTGGCGGGTTGCCAGAAAAGCGGTACTCGCTTGGAGGCCACGCCAGGCCACAAGCGATCGGCCTCGACAGCCTGAATTTCTAACCAAAGGTAGAAGAGGATCGTTTTGGAAAAAATCATAGGTCGCTCGAATATCACTGAGAGAACAATTTTGCTGCATAATCTAAATTTTTGCTGGATATCTGAAAATAATTTTGTTGGACCATCAAAATAATTGTGCTAAGACTGAAAAAAGTGATTATGCAGAAACTGAAAAATGATGAGCAACACAAAATTTTTATGTTTTAAAAATCAGTTTGAATTTCCAACAAAATTATCTTAATGATCATGTTAGTAAAATTTAATTAACATTAATTATCCTTGCGATTGAAGTAAACGATTTAATTCGACAAACGTCTCGCTATGATCTCTTATCACTTACCTAAAATTCACATCTTTAACGCGCGCATATTTACCTGAGATGGAGAGACATACTAAAACTTATCTAAATACCCCGTTGAAACTGGAACACTTTACGTTCCACCATTGATAAGTTTATTATTCCGTTTACAACTTCCTAGTGACATAAGCTAAATTGTAAGTCATGGAAGAATATTGGATAAGAAAAAGATAAGCTTGTTATTTGCTATAAATGGAAAATTCTCCTGTTGAGAATTTCAATTTACAACTTTACAATTAATATGTCAGAAAATAACTTTTCCACGGTCTTCTATATTTGTCATCGCATTAAAAAAATTTTCGGATAAGTATCGCGACGAGAATCGAGTGATACGTGCTAACGAGCGAAATCGCACAGTGCTAAACGCTTGTCAAGTCTCGTAGATATCGCGAGGGACCTTGAAGTTAGAGATGCATATAAGCCTCGACAAATAATCATTTCAATTGGTCTGTTGGTAATAATAGTGAAACATAAGAAATAACTTTGGGCATAATTGTTTGACTGTTGTGTAACATCATTGTTGCTCCATCTTGGTAAAAAAATAATGGATATAAAAGAATGGACAGACACACACACACACACACACACAGGAAATTATTCCGCAAAACTGAGTTCTTAATGTCTGAACCGCAAAAAGTAGCGATAGCGAGTGATTGTTTTAGGTGCGCGTTCGAGAAGGCGCTATTAGTGCTATTTGTGTCTATTCTATCTTTATTTTGCATCTAATAAACAACAAAGATAGAACGACAGAAATAGAGCTAATAGCGTTTCCTCGAACGTCATTTATCAGTTTATCTCATGTATGATGAAACAAAACAATCTATTATTACACGCAATGTGCTTTAAGTCTAAAAGCTCAAATTAATTTTGTTACATTAAAATAAATAGAATAACGAAAAGTACAAGAATTCTTTCAGCTAATTACAATCGCAAAGAGAGACATTGGGGGGATCCTAATAAAATAAATTTCTATCTACTTATGTTTTTTTTTTCAATTCAGCAGGAATCAAATTTTTATACGAGACGCGATCCTAGAAATTGTCGACGGGAAACGAAGTAATTAACCTTTACCTTGATCTCCGTGTACGTTCGAACGATTTAAACGGCATCGAAAACCGACTGTCGGCAAATGGCAGATGTTAGAGCCAACTTGGAATCAGGTAGCATCTGGTGCACCATAAAGTTGGCACTATTATAACTATTATGTGTTACTCGAAGAACGATTGCGGAAGTACATGCGTCGCGAGCCAATTATTTCTTGTTCCATCATATTAATAAAA